TTTCTAAGATTATTAGACACTACTGACAAACGGTGAAGGAAAACATCGCAAGGAAACCTGGGCTTATAATTTCTAATTATAAGTTTGAAATTGCATTGAGCAAGCGCGGTGATTAATGCTCAAACCGTGTGAAAAGAGGCTTTGCTCAGCAGTGGGCATTTATAGGCTGTTGATGTGATGTGTGATGTGAAAACGATAGTCAGAGTGTCTAGTGCGAATTATTTTTTACATCAACGTTTCGATTTCGACTCTGTAGTAGACTAAGTTAGTACAATGAAAACTTCGAAAATGTCAAGTGTGACGATCTAGTTAGACGTCACACATCGAATACTACCGGCGATAATTTTATTTGTAAGTATCAAAAATGAATAGTAATAATTCTAGTCTCACTCTAGTTTTCAACTGAAGTTAGGTTAGATTCACTGCCAGCAGACCTAGTTGGGACAAAGCCAGGAGAGTAAATTTTTAATGGTTTTTAGACAAGATATTACGCATTTCTTAAAGTTTTATATAGTGGTTATGGGAGTACTATATTATAGGTGCAGCTTATATTGTAGCGTTGTAGATCCTGTTGTATTTACTCTCGCGATATTACTTTCTCCACTCACCCATCGGATACGATGGTTGATTTTCATGAACTCGTTATTGCTTGATATCTCTGTAAGTACTCCATAAACACGTCATAGGTACAGGGGATATGCCTGTGTATGTGTGTGTGTGTGTGTGTGTGTGTCGGTCGTTCCCGGGATAATGAGGGTGCCCGTTGACACCCACAAGTGTTTGTGAGTTTGGTCCGTGCGGTCACCTCACACGTCCAACTTCTCACATTTTGTTCCGAACTTGTCCATTTGTGTTACAGCGCGGTTACAACAACATGCACGATAATTTAAAACGTAAAATATTATACATTTCATAAAAAATGAATTAGGTACCTACTCTTAAAATATGCTATAAAACTTCTATAGATAGACTTCTCTCGCTTTAGTATTCAGAACATAGGTTTTAAATTTCGAATCTATTCTTACTTTTAATATTATGCAAACATCCGAAATAATATTCAAAAGCTCAGGTTATTTATAGTACCTACCTACAAATAAAAGCCGACCACCTCAACAGCACTTGTGCCAGGGGATCGATGTACTTACCCTTTTGCAAATGAATAGAGCACAATTGTTGATAAAAATAAAGAGCTTTGTAACAACGGGTACTCAGTCACCGTAATTGGGAGCGACACGATAGGCAGCCAGACAAGGGTTAAAATACTCAAAATAAAAAATACCGCTCGTGTCGAGGGTTCAGCGCGCCTCGCACAAAAACCGACGGAACCCACGCTTACTCACACTTGACGCGAAGTCGGCTTACACTTGGGGCAAGAAATGTAACCATACGTTGAGTTAATTAGAAAAACAAATGTTCCATACAAATGTTGTTTGCAGAGACATGCACATTAAGAGGATAAGCCATTGTTTTTGTAAATGTGACGAGTTTAGATGAATGTAATGGTACGAGGATTTTGGTAACGTATATCAGCATACAGGAAAATAAACAAGAAGTATGTACTTATGTACACTTTTATATTCGAAAACAATATAATCTAAGAAAAAGTACGTAGTAGCCATAAATTCATCAAACAGCTCACATAAGACGTGTTTAACACCGAAGTTTAGCTATTATTCGTTTATTTTCGTGCTGGCTTGTTTTCGAATAGAAATGATTTATTGCTGACATCCTCGCAAGCCAAGCGCGAGCTTCCTGCCAATATCCCGATAAAAATGTTGATAGCCGCAAAGAGTAATGGAAATTGCCTGTTGGCCGTAATTTACAAGATAATAATATTAATCAACTTTATCTAAATGGGGAATAGATAAAACTTTGTACACTTCTACGTAAAATGTTTCGGTTGCAAATTAGTCTCATATTTTATACATGGATAAAACAATGAACACAAAATATATGCACTTTTTCAAATGTTCTCCCACACTAGGATTTTCTCCTGTGTCGTGCGTGCTTTTACAAACATATAAGTTCACATACTCATGCCACCTAGATCCAAAACAACAATTATTGTGAAGAGTTGCTCCGTGCAGGAACCAAACCCGCTACATGTTGCGTGGCCGCCGGTTGCTCAGACACCGCGCCAACCATGTAGTCAGATTCTGTAGCATATACTTAATTATCTTTTTCGTAATGAAATTGTTAAAAATGGTAACTACATCATTTTATTTATCTTTTTTCAAAGTATGTATGTGAGTTTTGACCTAGATTTATGTAGTGGTAACATTGCTACTGCAATAAACTATAATAAATACAAAAAATACTAGTCGATACTAGTTTTCCAGTTTCGAATAAAAGTTTTTCTAGAGCATAGCTATACACATAGATCTGTGTGCACGTTATATTTCTAGAAATAAAATTGTGGAAATGTGGAATAGCTTGCATATCAAACAGTGGACGGAATTATTGTGAATATACTTGTGTGCAATGTGGAAGATATAATATACTGGACATACTTAACACGATACACAGTTAAGTTTTTAGCACATAGTGAATGGGTAGAATAGGTGGTATACCTGAATGGGTAGAAAGGATCCTATACATATGATAAGTGATCGAAAACTTAATTATGTTTTGTAAACCTACAAATGAACTTTAGAGACAACTCCGTGTATGTTCTTTCCTACTGTTATCACACATTCACGACCTGGGATAATTCCGTCGGAATAATACGAATTTAGAACAAAACGAATGCACATGTGAGCAGTGGTCGTGTCATATATCTGACAAACAAAAGCGTGCCTGTGTGCGTGCAGCCGTGTGCACTAGAGGAGAGCTCTGATTTAAGTGGCTTTGAGCACTAACAGCACTGGCAACTTTATAATATATTTTTGTAAAATGTTCCCGACACTTGCGTTAATTAATGTTTATTTTAGGAGTTCGTTGGTTGCTTCAAGTTTTAAATTAAATTAAAATGTTTTTAAAATGTGATGTGTTTTGATATAAATCTCTGAAGTTTTAGATCTCTTTTAGATATTAATTCGTAGAAGTTAGTGTGTTTATCACGATATTGCGTACGTAATAAAGTAGATACTGTAACAAATTAAATATAATCTTAATAATACCATTAATAATGGTTGTCTGAATCCATGTCCAATTGGATTCTCTCCAAAGAATAGGTAGAGGTACCGAACAGGTACTGGCATTTTTATGAGTTCCATATAATAAAGATCTATCGTTATGAATAGGGCTTCTTAAGGAAATTAAATATGTTTTACCACTGCAAAATGATAATTATAATATGTCTTTGAATGTCAGGAGAATCAATATTTTACTGATGATATCTTCATCATCCCGTAGGTCCCAGGTTATGTTATACTGACTTTTAACTAATATCACGTAATGATAATTTATTTATTTGTATTAAGCAATCATTACAACAATACACACATTGACACATGATCATAAATACAATTAAATAAGCTTGTTTCACACAAGCTTATAGTAGTTTCCAATAGTAACAATTTGATCAGATCTCTTATGTGTTCAGTGAAAGACAACCTGATAGAAGACATTAGTACATAACATAACACGCCTTTTTATCCCCGAAGGGATAGGCAGATTGCACATTACGGCACTTAATGCCACTATACAAATGTAACACCCACTTTTCACCATTTATGTTATTAGTCCCATGTAATAGGGGGTTAGCCTATTGTCATATACCGGGCACAATTCCAGACTCCGTACTACTACTGAGAATTAAAAAAATATCCAGTAATACTTTGCCCGATTCGGGAATGGAACCCGAGACCCCTTGCCCGACAGTCTCACTAGAGACCGCTCGGTCAACGAGACAGTCGAGAACACATTATGATTGCTGATTTAACCATTTATGGCGCATTTGTATGAGATTCTGTAGTATCTACTACAGAACGAGATGCGATTACGAGTAACTGTGGAAGTGAGACAAAAGAGTTGTGGGAAACGCTTCATGTGCCAGTAACACCCATTGTTTATACGCAGAAATACGAACCAATTATTCCGTTACAAAATACTTGGAATTATTTAAAACACTGCTATTATATTTCAAACGTTATTAACTATGTAATAGAGTCTAGTTTTATAAAGTCTTGGTATACTATTAGGTCGGTATTACCTCATTATTTTTCTCAGTTTTCCTGTATGCTGGTGGTAGTTGGTAGTTACGAGTCTCCTGGGTGCAGTCCCTGCCTACATTAGCTCGGACCCTGGCTTGTTTGCTCGAGTAACGCAAATGAATTGGTTATACAGTTCACGTTATACCACTCGATGGGTTTGTTAGTGGACGAGGAAGACTAAAAGATTTTTATAAAACCTTTTTCTTGTATTTCATACTTTAATTCACGTTAGACTATTGTGTAGATTTCAATTGTTTCTTTTGTTTTATCATCTAGCTGTAGCAAACAAAATATAGCTTTGCATACAGAAAATATATTTGTTTTGTAGTTCTGACCTATTCCGTATATGTTTGCAATTGTCTATGAGAAACTAGTATGGAAACTATTTAACATTCTTGCTTTACCTACCTATACCACTCTTAACGTAGTAGTTAACAGTAATAGCTTACATTAACTTATATTAACTTAAATAAATAATGTACAAACAAATTTTTAAAGCTTTGTGCTGTATCTTCAAATGAAGGAAAATACCTAATCAAACAGTTCCATGAATTAGAAAGTGTTTTTCTCAGTAATTTACTGTAATTGATTACTAAGTAGACATTGGTAAGAAGATTTTAAAAATGTGTTAAAGCAATTATGCTTGTAAATGTAATACACCCTCGTTGAAATGATGTATTTTCAAAAAGTATATTAGGTCGACATTTTATTTGAAATTGTTAACTTCTTTATGGCGAAAAGGTTGAAGACATAGATTGTGATTCTGGAGACTGAATCTGACATCTTCTTCCCGACGTCGTGATACATGCATTGTTTCACTATGGTACTAGTATCTAGTGTACTTACGTGATGGTGGCGGGAGGGTTGGCATGCACCAGACAGGGGAGGACCACGTCTCCTCCTCTTCGTACCGTGGCCTCCCACTGGCTGTGCGAGATGCCGCGGGGAGCTGATGATACGCTCATTGCTGTTAAAGATTTGAACAATTATCACAGTGTTCGTGAACTGTTTTAACAATAAGGGGATAGGCAGAAGTGCTGGCTATGGTATCATAGAGGCTAGAGAATCTACGGTCATACACTAGATGCAATACTTAGTTAGTTAGACACTTGAATAATTATTTATTTGCCCATTAATCGAGAAGACTGAGACATAATCGTCTCTTATGCCTGGAATAACAGATCTAAATATAATATCAACTTAATTTTTATTTCACTGCAACTCTTGAAATAAAGTTGGTACAAATTACTTACGAGCAACATCGATGTTGACTGGTGAGCTTCTCCGTCTCTCGCCAGTGAGGGAGTCGAGCACCGAGCACGAGTACTGTGCTCTGGTGTCCTCCACTCGGACTGATCTTATGATGAGCCGCCAACCTTCGTCCACCAGCAGCGTGGTGCCAGCTGTGAGGGGAAAATAATCCACAAAGTCAAACTATCGATTCGTGTGTGATTTTGTTTATCCCATCGTAATAACTATAAATGTGAAAGTTTGCGAGGATGTATCTGTGTGTTTGTAATTCTTTTACGTCAAAACGGCTGAAGGGTTCGAGATGAAATTTGAAACAAGGATACATTATGGTCTGAAATAACACATAAGCTACTTTTTATCGCACGGTAACGCGGGCGAAGCCGCTAGCAGAAGCGAGTGATATATATATAATTGTGTACTGATCACAGTGTACACTTTGTTACCATTGTTATTCTTCTCATCGGTGGTGTAAGTGGTTAACTAAAGAACTATTTATTTAACAGACAGCGGGCATTCTTTGATAAACCAAATTAAGCCTGGAGATACTGACAATACCTTCTTTTGTACTAAACTCGTACGGGTTATTGATGATGGTGATAATTTCCTATGGAGTATTAGATAATAATGACCAAGAAACTCCATGGTTAAAACCAACTGTAAAAATCTTTTGGGTCTCACCATAAAAACAAAATCGGATCCAGACGGTATTTTAATGTTCCCCAAGAGTTTTAAAGTTTCGTAGAATTTACACGTAAAATTAAATTTGCTTCGTGAGCGAACTTTTTGGGAAGAATGGTTTATTGTGGTGCTGCGGCCGGCGGAGTTAGTGGGACGTGTCTAACGGGGAATGTGCTCAAATCTGTGTTCAAGTTAAAAGAAAAATACGCTAGAGTAATATAGCATTTACTTTTTGTGGAATAACATTTCTTTAGTTTATGTTGGTACAATCTGCCACAGGTTTGCCAACCACTATCTTTTCTGTAAGCCAGTACAATGCGCCATGATACATCTATCAGCATGATCCAAGAGACATCTCTCTTGAATCGTGCTACGAAATTAACAAGAGCATATCATTGGAGGAGTCGAAAAAAATCAGTTACATTGTTTATTTATACACATTATTTTTGAAGATTTCCAATGTACTAGTCTTAGGTACTTACACATATGGTCAGCGGAGGGTAGAACAGAGTCGTCTCTGTACCAGGCAGCGACAGAAGAGTGTTCCCTGAGTGCTGCTGGAGCCACGCATGTAAGGAGTGCAGGCCCTCCCGCCTCGGAAGGAGTCGAGGTTACGTGCACCTGCCAGTCTTGCCACACCACTGCAGACAATGACACAGAATTTGTTAAAAACGCATATAAAATTGACTCTGTTTATTTTCAGAAACATTCGTGTTATATTTATAGTATGTTATGTGAACCTAGCATAAATTGGTTTTAATTCCATTGTCTACCTCAGTTCAATGTAAAATATCGCAACCTACAGTTGTTAATAGATTTATTCTCCGAATTCAATTAACAACATAGAATAAAGTACATGAATAACGTGATACCTACAGCGAGACCGCAAAATTGTAAAAGTATCAATTTAAAAGCAATCAAACGAGCGTTTTAACTGAAATAACTGCAAAAAACAGTGGCTTTGATACTGACTAATTAACCGTGAAACTGTAACTCGAGCGAGCCGTGCCGACGTCGGCGGCTGCGAGGCTCTGGCGACAAAAGTATTTGCAAGCGAATACAGCCCTGATTTGCGATTGTGAATAATTTCTGATTTACTCATAATGTATTCGAGGTAAATTGCCCTCGTCTCTCTAGAACCTGCAAAGTATAAGGCTGGATACGACTTGTTGTACAAAATCAAACTTTTAATATTAAATCCGATTCCTTTCGAGTATTGCCTTCTCTATATTCAGCAACAAATTACTTGCCAATGCACATACTGTAAGGATGGAATTGAGTACTGACAGTACAAAATTTAACAAAAAGTAGAATCATGAAATTATCTTACAATTGCAAGTTTCAAATCTACACGCACTAAGGTACTCGTTAAAGAGCATGACAAAATAAAAACTCTGTGAATCAACATTAGTCAGACATCTCGAAACTTCCTCAAGCTTGTTAATTTTTTCCTTAAACTTCTTCTTGCATGCACCGAGACTGTGTGTCGCAGATGCTTTAAACTTTTGTGTTTCGTCCCCTTTGCTAACTTGGGAACTTTTTTAAGCGTCTCTCTTGGGAAATCTTCATCTTATATTTAACAAAATATCTAAACAAGTCAAGTTTCATGTTCGTTCCCATGGGGATTATACATTGGTTATTAGTTCACAGCATGTTTGGAGAATTTTCAGTTGTTATTATTGAAATGTTTACTGAATGTGAGTTATTTTGTTCGGTAAGTCGGTTTGATAAACGATAATATATTTTTTTATTTGATATGCATCAGATGATATGCCATAGAATAGGTCTAGCATGATTGCTAGGGGCATCATTCGAGTTGTTGCAGTTAACCGTATACATACATTCGACAGTCAGGACTCCAAACAAAAAATAGTGCACTAATACTTCTAAAACACAACTGTGCAAGCTGCAGTATATGCAAGTTGCAAACGTACTCAAATCTCTTGCAGACGTCTGGGGGCCGTCGCTTCGTCTACATGTTGCATTATTAAACAGGACTTGTTAGTAGCGGCAAAAGGCTTACTATTTGCTTTCACGTGTTTCCTTTCTTTTAAGGCGAGAAAAACAGTCTGGACGCTAGTATTTTTACCAGGAGTTGGGACTGCAATTAACTAATTGGAAGCACTCACAACCGTGTCAATGTTACTGTTAATGAGCATCTAAACAGATCTTCTGTGGAAATTAAAACTGATGTGTGCTTGGATTAATTAGTTGTTTAGAAAAATATAAGTTTGTAAGTTAATTTATTTTAGTTTTATGATAATTTTATTGAACTAACTAGATACTTATGTTCTAATATGTTAATATAAGTTATTATATATCACTAGTTTTGATTTGTTTTGACTTAGTTTTGATGATGAAGCTACTGCAACTAAATAATTCAAGAAATCCTACTAATACTGTAAATACGGAAGTTTGTATGTTTGTTACTCCTTAACGTCAAAACGGCTGAAGGGATCAGGATGAAATTTGTAACAGGGGTAGATTATGGTCTGATGTAACACATAGGCTACTTTGTGTTCTACGGGAACGCAGGCGAAGCCGCTGGCGGAAGCTAGCGTTCCATAAATACCGACCGTAATGATGGCCCATTCGAGTTAGTCGTAATAAAAATTCAACTTGGAAGACATTCAGTAATTTCTTCCTTTTCCTACAAAGACTGTTTTTAATTTTACTTCAGCAGAGTAATAAACCTTACACTTTAGGTACATTCCAGCCTGTAGTTATTCTTTTACTGTAAGTGGCTCATGACTTGAAACCTCTTTATTTTATCAAAACAACTTTAGAACATTGTGTAAAAGTAATAATGTGCTTCCTTCATATTCTTGGCACGAAACCGATCGTGTGCCAGTAATACGATCGATGGTAATCATGATCACACATTGGAAGTAGATATTATTATGGAATCCAGCGTGGTTAACATAATGTGTGGAGGAAATGTTGTTAACATTTCGGTATTTTTGGACACAAAAGTGATGTCTAAAGACGATCATATTGATATGTTCATTCACCTATATGTTAGTGTTCATCATATTTGGACAAAGGTTAAAAGATTAAAATTAAGGTCCCATTTGCTTAGTAAGAACGTAAAATAATAATTTTGTTCTACAAATCTGTATACTCTGTTTAATTTCTGCGGGATAGAGTTACAACTTCCTTTAAAAAAATAAAGCAATAGAGACCATTTTTCAAATCACAAAATATCACAATTCTCAGTGAGCATGCAAATAAAACGAGCAAGATAAAACCGTAGCGGTCTTTGACAAACTTTTAGTAACTTCAATAATAAAAACATTCGTCTCACGAGCATAAAGTCGAGCACTATAAAGCGATTGCTACGCTCCGAGCATAACTCGAGCACTTTAAAGTGATTGTTACGAGAACAGGTTTAATGCTCGGGGATATGAAACTCCTTTCAACGTCCGAATCGGCTTTTATAACTTTGTTTTAGATTATTTCTAATATGTATTGCTGTGAAGACCTTTATTTTAAAACATTTTACTGTTTTGTACATTTAACAGAATTAATTCACAAACACATTAGAGGAAATATGTGGATGTAGGTGATTTCGAACCTTTTAATATGTATGATCGATGATTGCTGTAAGTTAACATTAATATGTAACAGTATCCGTAATAAACAAGTAAGTAACAAGCATCATTATTTAGTTCCGTGGCCTAAGAAGTGTAAGTTACGCGCGCAATTTACGCTTCCCTAAACCAAGCCAAAGATTTATTAAGAGTAATGTACATAAAATGCGGTTTGTTGGAACGCCTTCGTTGAGGTCTGCAAATACTCGTAAAACTGTCAGTACCCAACGACCATTTAGAATATTACAATGATTTACTGAAGGCAAAAGAAATGATTGAAGTGATCCTCAGTGGGCTCTTTTTCATTTCTTTTTTAAAGCTAAAAGATTTGCTAACGTATTTCAAATTATCATACATTTCTTTCCTGTTTCTATACTAAGTCCATAATGCATAATTGGTTGAAATTTAAATTGTAAGTCAATATTATAGCTACGAATAAACGTTAAACGTGTCGATCGAACATCTTGAAGCTCTTTCAATTTGAATATCATTTAATTACCTGTCTCCTCCGTGCCCTTTGAAGCAGCGCTGCTGTGCTCGGGGACACTCGGAGGTAAATTCAGATGAAGTCAAACTTTCATAAACACTCACAGAATTTAATGAAAACTCGTTAAGTCGCCGGCGACTGCGACGTCAAATATACGGGCGCTTTGTTGAAGTACACTGACCTGTTAGCTAGGATATTAGCTATCATTTGTTTTTGTATTTCGATGCTTTATTTTCATGGACATAGAACGATCCTACTAAGTTGTATCTTCGCATCGGTAAAAATACCTGGAAAAGTCAACAGTTCAACAAGAAAAAAATTATGATAAAAAATGAAGTTTCATAATTGCAAATTTTTAAAATTAGTATAGAATGTAATTTTGTGTGAGTAGAATGAGTTTGGTTCGAGAGTTTCACCTGGCAGTCCGAGTCCTGCTCCTGTATACATATTTGATTCAATTAAGGCGTCCCGATCTGCCCCGGCTGAATATTTTAAGCGAGCCTCGATTAATACAGTCTATGAACTAATCACATTTACAAACTGATGAGGAGCAGAGGGCTGCACGGAGACTTTGCATACAGTAATTGATCACTCGAGTTAGCTGTGTGTTTTAACTTTTTACTTACTAAAAGTGAATAAATATTGAAATACTGGATTCGTCAATAATTTTGCTTGTGACTTGCATTTGGATAAAATTGCGAAAAAGTTACAAAAATTCTTGGTTATCTGTGTATAAATCCTCCTCTACACTTGTTAAGATTCGACTTTGGACAATAATTTTAATGAAAGCAATTTATTATCTTACCTTCTATTTTAATTTAATTTGATACTCTTCCACTTAAAGCCTGAGAGCATGAGAGTATTCTAGACGCTCTAAATCGTTCGTTAGCGAATAAATTGGGAGCGGGGAAGAACATCGCCAAGTTGAGCCGCGAACTATCGAGCCGTCAATTATTTTAGCGTAATGGTAATGTTTTAATGACTGTACCACACGACATACATTATTTAGATATCTTTATCATACTAGCTCTGTGCGTTGGCACAGAGCTGACTTGCAAGTGTTGACTTGTAGGGTTTAATACAATGCTAAATAACTGTATAGTTAATATTTATTTATTTGGGTAATCACGTTATTACATGAATAAACCTACTCTGACTGATATAAAATCATAACTTTTAGGATTTAACATATAATGTAGTAAACAGTACATAATGTACGCAATATAATCAGGCAAGTTATATTTATTTATATTTATTTATTTATTGCAAAATGTATATACATAGTGGTATTATACTACTAGTACAGTACATTACCCTGTTAGGGCGCAGCAATTAAGTTTCCTTAACAAAGCAATTTCTGACAGCAATAATAAAGGTATTTTATTTCTTTTCCCGGTGTAAAGAAATGTTGACTCGTGTATTTTGGAAAGTAATGTCCACATCAACACTATTAATTTATATTTCAAATTATACGTTGTGAAACGTTCACGGCCCATTAAGTATTGCGTGCGACCAGAGACATGCCTCCAAAGAAATAAAGCGGCGATTTTAATAAAATAATAAC